GCCAGGAAGAACACATCCTCCTTCAAGACAGATGCCTTGGTAGTTCACACCAGCTCCAAGGATGCTGCACATTTTTTTATGCTTCAATTTTATTAAGGCTCTCCCATTCATCTGAAGCCTCTAGAAATTTTCTTTCTTCACCCCAAAAATGTATTTCCCCCACAATTTGATTTAGAGTGCTAAGCAGCACCTTACACCATTGCAGAACATCTAAAAGGAATTCTCTGTGTTTGCTAAGATATGTGATTTAGGATATAAAAGGCCCACATGATACCCTGAATGGAGGAATGTTTGAGAATCCTTGGGCAACTGAGGGCAGTTCTGAGAAATGCTGGGTTGGAACTCTCAGAAGGAGCAGAAGAACTGAGTGAGTTGGGAGCGGGTGGCAAAAGGTAGCTTGGGACTTACTAGTAGACCTTTCAGTGATCTGCAGTAGATGAGCAAGAAATTCTGACTCCAATAGCAATAATGAAAGATTTAATAAAAACAGATTAGGCTGATATAATAAGGCAGATTAGGTGAAGGTCAAGAACGAATTTTTGCGCTCAGCTCTAATACAATAAAAAAGTAATCTTGTTGAGCATATCTTCACAGTTAGTTTCTCTATTTTTTTAATGCTAAAGAAGTATCTATCCCATGAACCACTGTTTTGCACTTAGCCTTGTTAATATATTCTGTGGTTGTAAGGAAAAATAAAATAGATTCCACAGGCCTGGAGTCCATTGTTACTGATGAACCCTTTCTGATATATCCAGAATAAAGACAAAAAGAAAGTTAAGGGCATTCTTTCTCAGTAAACCCACAAACGTGGGTTTTAAAAATACAAAAGTTGTTGACATGTATGTTCTTAAAAATCTTCAGTCTGTCTCAGTTTCTACAGACTATATTCTTTAGATAAAATGTTATCATGCAAAGTCACTGAGTGTCAGTTAGTTAGCCTAAAATACCATATTCTTTCGTATCAAATGTGCAGGTAAATTAACAGTGACAGCAGAAATACTGATTACTTTATCCACTTTTATATAAAGTTTGAATTCCTTACTTTAATAAATACATCATCACATAAAGCAGAAATTTTCTCCATTTAACACTTGGAGATTAGTGGAAAACTGGCTGTATTAAAGTAATAACATATGCCTAGTTCTGATGCATGTATTTCACAAGAGACCTAGCAGAATTTGTTTTGGAATTACCAATTTCTTTAAAACAATTTCCACTAACAAATGTGCATGTGGTACATATTCATCAAATCAAACCATTTTTAGAAGAATTGGGGAAAAAGCAGTGATTCCAAGGCCATTCAAAAATAGGCCATTTCTTCTTTTTTTTAATAGTACAGGAAGCGCTTTGTACTAAAAAGATCATTTCCAATGTCTATTTCTCAAACTGGCCTGTGATCTTTCATTATTAACACATTTCTTGGCTTGATTGTCTTTAACGTTTTCAGTAAAATTTTAGCTCTGCCTCAGGTCAGTTTTTGCATAGAAAGC